CTTTTGCTCTGGTTATTTTGGAGATGGGGTCTTGTGAAGTATTTGTCCAGGCTAGTCTTTAACTACAATCCTCCTGATCTCAGCCTTCCAAGTAGCTAGGGTTATAGCTGTGATTTAACCATTAATTCCACCTATAACATACTAGCAAAGCAGTGTCCAGGTTGGTGTTTGATCAAATATCTATGAACTAAAGCTATCAGTGTCGACATACAAAATTACCACAGTAGCCAAATACCAGACATTTTTAGCTTTTAGCTGTCACCACTACTCAACTGTGCAGTTGTAGTCCTAGACAATATATAAACAAATGACCTTTATTTGTAGATACTAAAATGTGAGTGTCATGTAATTTTCACATGTTACAAAATAAGCTTTTCTTTTTATCCTCCCCTCTAACTATGTAGAAAATGTTAGATAGCAGATGGGATTTGGCATGGTTTGTTTGGCATCCAGGAATCTCTTGCTTAAAATGTAGTCAGTGAGAATGTGTACAGTGCCTATAGATGAGGATACTCTTTTTTGTTGCTTGTATTCCAGGTTAAGCATTCTTGAGAGTATATGTTTTCTTTCCATGCTTAACCTCTTATTGCACTTGTCCTGGGATTTTACAAGAAGTCTGCTCTTAAGAGAGTCTTCCCCAAGGCACTACTCAAACTGAAAGAGGAGCTCTACAGGAAATATTTCTCTCCCTTGTCATGCTGCCCCTGGATTGTCTTCCTGTGGAACAGATTCTACATGTAGGGAAAAGACTACAACCTGTCAGCTGTGCCTATTAACAAGGGCTTTGAGATGTTTTGGGGGGGATTTCTTGGCTCCAGTGCTCAGGGTATGTGTCCTATTTTTTGTTTTCACTATTTCAACCAATAAAAAGCTGGACATGGTGGTGTGTGCCTGTTTTCCCAGCTAAGCAGAAAGTGTGAATAGAAGGACTGCAGTAGAAAAATAACTAAAACAGGTCTGGTGGAGTGCCTCCCTAGCAAGTGTGAGGCCAAGTTCAAACCCCTGTACCACCAAAATAAATAAATAAGCTAAGAAAAAGGTTGAGAGTATGTCTCAAGTGGTAGAGCACCAACCTTGTAAGTTCCAAAGCCCTGCTTTAAATCCCAGTACTAAAAAAATCTGATGGCTTTGTGGCCATTTTCTTCTGGTTGTCACTAACTGTTTGCCTACTGGTCCTACATTTTGCCTTATGGTAGGCATGGATTTGACAGTGGCTCGAGGTGGACTCCATTAAGCCTCGTGTTCCTTTAGTTCTAACACTGAACTAACAATTCCCAAATTCACATTTTTATTTTTGATTTTATTATTTTTTGCCAGGACTGGGGTTTGACCTCAGTGCTTTGGTCTTGCAAAGCAGGTGGTCTACAGCTTGATACACACCTCCAATCCCAAATTTGCACACTTAAAATACATAATTTAGTTCTTGTTAATCTATGCACAGTGTTTTCCAACTACTCCTATTGCCTATTTTCAGAACATTTTCATTATGAAAGAAATCTCTTGTTTGGCATGGTGTTTTGTACCTGTAATCCCAGTACTTTGAGAACTAAGACAAGGGGATCGAAAGTGCCAGTTCCAGGTCTGCCTGGACTACATAACATGTTCTAGGCTATCAAGACCCTGTCTCAAAAAAAATTTCAACCATTAGTAACTCATTCTTCCTCATTACCAGACAATCATTAATTTGTAAGGGTTTTCCAATTGTGAATGTTTCATATAAATAGAATTATATAATAGGTAACATTTTGGGTTTGAACTTTTTTCATTTAACATAATGTTTTCAGAGTTTTTCCATGTTGTAGCATGAGTCATTACTTTTTTTTTGGTGGGACTGGTGTTTGAACTCAGGCTTTAGTACTTGCAAAGTAGGTGCTCTACTGCTTGAGCCAACCCTCCAGTTCACTTACTCTGGTTATTTTGGAAATGGGGGGGGGTCTCACAAACTATTTATCCTGGCTGGCCTTGAATTTTCATCCTTGGGCCTCAGCCTCCCAAGTAGCTAGGATTATAAGCATGAGTCTCCGGCACCCTACTTCTGTAACCTTTTTTTTTTTTTTCAGCAAATGAAGGGTATGCTGAATAAAGTCTGTTAATTGACATGTTATTGTCTTTAAGGAGATGGTTGAGCAAAATGGAAAATTCTCTTGTATTGTTTTTCAGGCCGCTCATGGGTTCTTTGGAATTTAACCTCCATTCCATTTTTTTTTTGGTACTGGGAATGAAAGCCCATTTCCTAATGCAGTATAACAAAGAGGAGATTATGAGGAAGGCAGTGAGAGAAAAGAGAGCAGAACAGAAAGGTAGAAGATAGGAGAAAAAAATAATAATCAAGTACATTAGAGTTGAAAATTAAATATGATTTTATCTAATATTTATACTGCAATTGCAAAAGTAACTCATAATCCCTAAAAAAGTAGAAAGCACTGTAGAAAGTTAAAAAAAATGCTCAAGTTGTCATATCCAAAAGGATCCCAAGAAACATGACTGTAATGTGTGTCATTCTTCATTGAAAATTGGATGTTATAGTTGAGCACCAATGGCTCACAACTGTAATCCTAACTTCTCAGGAAGCAGAGATCATGAGGATCTCTGCAGTTTTTAAGTCAGCATGGGCATATAATTTGTAGACCCTATTTTGAAAATACCCAACACATAAAAATGGCTGGCAGAGTGGCTCAAGTGTTAGAGCGCCTGCCTAGCAAATGTAAAACCCTGAGTTCAAATCCCAATAACTCAAAAAACTGAGAAAATCTGAATAAGACATTGACTTAAGTTAACAATAATAACAAAAAAATATGTACCCAATTCTTACTCCCAAATGATATTCCACTAAAACATTTGGTGCAATTTTTTAAAAGCCAACAGGTGCTTATAGTCTGTACTAGGACTTGTTCTGAATGTGTGTTATTGACTTTTAAATTATTAAACAATTGCATGAGATAAACACAATAGACCTTACTTTAACAATAAGGAAAACTATATACAGAATGTTAAGGAACTTGTTCAACTTAACACTGATGCTAAGCATCAGAGCTAGAAAATTCGAATCAAAAAAGCCTGAATCAAAAGGTATGGTTTTCAAACACTAGATTATGTGGTGTATATTCTTTCCTAATTCTTTTGTGTGTGTGTGTGTGTGTGTGTGTGTGTGTGTGTGTGTGTGTTCGGTAATGGAGTTTGAACTCAGGGTCTTGCTCTTGGTAGGCAGGCACTGTGCAACTTGAACCATACCTCCAGCATCTCTTTCTTAATTTTTCAAGGGTGCAAATAAACATAATTGCTTGATGCACCTTCATATAGTTTTCCATTTTATTTTGTAATTTGATCTGAAGATCAAAGTCAACTTTCAATGTTACTTTATACAAACATGTAAAAAATAACTATTAGAAATTGTAATTTTTAGATGAAAAACTATTGAATATTGGCAATTTCCTGGATTGAATACAGGACCTTGTTCATGCTACACTAAAGCTCTATTATTGAGCCTCATTCATAGCCCAAACATTGACACTTTTATGTAGTTCATGTTTGTACCAGGAATATTATCTGACATTCTTTATATATCCATGAATTTCTTCATCTGTTTTTGGAGTACCAATACATAGTTTGTTATGACAAATCTCAGCATTATTATATCTCTGCAACCTTGAGGCTTTTTGGCAACTGAGCTATAGTTGAAGAAAAGGGTCAAGGAGGGAATTTTGGCCAAGAAAAAAATCCCCATAGCTGGGCTCTGGTGGCTCACACCTGTAATACTAGCTGCCCAGAAGGATCATAGTTCAAAGCCAGCCTGGGCAAATAGTTCTTGCAACCCTATCTCAAAAAAAAAAAAATCACAAAAAAGGGCTGTTGAACTGGCTTAAGTTGTAGGCCCCCAAACCCCAGTACCATTAAAATAAGAAAGAAAATAAATCCCCATTAGTGCACCCCATTTCCCTGTTCTTTGACAATAAGAAAGGGTAAATATATGTAAAACAGTATGAAAATGTAGCTTCCGGATTGTTTCCTTAGGGTTTTATCCTCAGCATTGTCTTTCCCCAGCTACACAAATACCTGCATTTTGGAGTTAACAATGCACACTACATCTGCAGGCAGTTTTGTTCTCTAATATTCTTTGAAATGTCCTGTTTTTTCCCACTCTAGCTGTCATTGATAATTGGTAATTTACATATTCAAACAGTAGCAAAGGAAATCTTCTTGTTTTTAGATTTTAGGTAGGAACCCAAATTCATGTTGTTTTACACAGGAATAGATAATTTTCATAATTGAATGTTCTTTAGATCCTACATTGAAGAGCTTAATTATATCATGATTTAGGGGAGAGTGATTTTGCCATAAAAATATAGAAAACAGCAAAACAAATCAAATCCTGTCAAATTTAAACAATAGCACTTTTAAGACTCAGGATATTTTCTTCTGGATATGATGTCAAGCGTCTGTCGTACTTTTTGCCACTTTGGTTTACTTAACTTTTTTAAAGCGGGTGTCACTACTTAGCATAGTGTGGCCTTGGAAATCTCCTTTCTCCTGCTCCAGACTTCCAAGTGCTGGAATCAAACCACTTTTCATACCACATAGAAGAAAGACCTAACTGGAGGTGAGCTCCAACAGTAGAGCACCTGCCTAGCAAGTGTGAGGCCCTGAGTCCAAATTCCAGCACAGCTAAAAAAAACCCAAAATGATTAATAGTTTTAAAAATAAAGAAGAGCCTAGGATGTTTGTAAATTAGTTATTTTGCCAGTGATACCTGCAATGACTTCTTGGGAACCAAGAATTATTTACTATTATATTTAAAAAATAGTACATAAATCCACTAATCCCTGGCTGACAGTGATTTCTGAAAACGCTCACTCAAGGCACCATTGATATGAATGTTTGAGGTCTGGCAGTGCTGTGTTCCTTGGTGGTTGCGGTCAGCGAGGACGCTGGATCCTCTGCATTGCGGCAAAAGTCCGCGCATGCGCGGCACTATTTTGGGCTGGTGCGCACGCGCGACCGGCGGCACGATAAGCCCGAGCTGCTGCAGCGAGCGCTGCGCAGAGCGGAGAGGCTGCTGGAGATGCATGACGTCTGCTTCTGAGTAGCGGTTAGCGACGCGATGGAGCGAGCAAGGTCAGCCGTGGGTTGCTTCCCTTCTTTCCTTGAGAACGTTCTTCTTCCTTCCTTGAATATTCCAACGTATAATCAGGGAATTCTGCAGCTAAAGTCCTTGGTTCCAGAGAACCTGATTGGACACATTTGAAGGCTTGGGACTCAGCGGTGCCGCCCGGTGTTTTCCCGACCGCATTGTGTGTGCAGTTTCTAACCTACCGTCTTTTCTATCGTGTAACCACAGGTCTTTTCATGGGTGGACATTTGTCCTTTGATTCTGAGGGACTTGCTGAATGTTATCTATGGCGGTGTTTTGGGAGGTTGGGGGATGGCTGTAGCGCAGTTTGAGGGAAGATGATTTGCTGATATTTGGGGGATGGTAAGCCAAGGAGACCGACCCGAGGGAGAGGGTCCATTACATGGCACTGGGGTGTGACGCAGGGACTGCGGCTGGCACGGGTACAGCTGTGGCTCAGGGACACTACAAGGGTGACTGCGGGGTTAGGGCGGGTGGGCAGATCTAGATCTCACTGACCATATTGTTTTGGGGCTGCTGAGGTTTCTCAGGTGATTGGCAGGAAGCGGTCGGGGTTAAGGTCTGTATGGCGGTGGTCGCAGAGCAGACACCAAGGCATCCAAAGTGTCCCTGAGAGGGAGGGGAGGAAGGAGGGTTCGTTGCGGACTTCTTGGGCTGGTATTGTGGTCACTTGGGTGTCTGAAGTGAGTGACAGGCTCAGTGGAATGACCTCTGCGATGGGGGTGGGGATGAGAAGTGGGGATGGCGCAGCCAAGAGGAAAGATTTTAGGATGATAATTTTTCTGTGGTCTTGATTCCATATTAAGATTGGCACTTAAAAAAAATAATCCTCTCCACTCCTGTAATAGTGATGTTTGCAGAAACGTTTGGTTCTTTTTTTTTTTTTGCATATTTTTACCTGTGGCTATTGTATAAAATAGAGAAATTTCAGAACTTGATTTTATGCATCCTATGACAAATGTAGGAGGTGACACCACAATGTGTCCCCCTTTTTGTCATTGTTTTTCTTGATGCTTGAAATCTAGTCTATTTTAGGGTTGCAGGTGGGCGGTTTATAGATCCCTAGACAACGCCATTGTAGGTTCCCCCAAGATGGCCGCTGGTGCAGAGACACTTGTTTGCGCAGGCGCGGCTGGGGGGGTAGTCGGTTGCCCACTCCTCACATTGCCGCAAGGGGTGGCTGTCTGCGTATGTCTGCTCAGTCTGCCCGTCTAGAAATTCAGCCACACCCTCCCAAAGTTTAGTGGTGAAGACGGGAGCCCGCCCTCCATGCCTGGCTGCCCCCCTCAAAGTGCTGCAGTGGGAAAGGGCACATTGTACGCAGGCGCAATAGGGAAGATGGCCTCCGCCTGAGTTGGGGCATGGAGGGGGCTGGTTGGGGGATTGTGTTGTGTTGGCATGAAGAGGAGGCAGTCATCACTTCACCTAGGTGTTACAGTTGCTGCCCCCCCCTCTTTCTTCACTAGGGCACATTGGAAGGGGAGGAGGAAACTGGGCTGTCCAGGCTCCACCTAGCCAGCTTGGCAGCATTTCTCCTCACCATAGTGCCCCTGTGGAGGACTGGAGAGGAATGGGAGGGATTCCTACAGCCTCTGTGTGGGATGGCAGGTGCCCTCTGGCCCAGCTTTTCTGTTCGATAGTAGGCTGGAATAAATAGAGTGTCTGTATGTCATGAAAAGTGCTGCCGCCCCAGAACTTGATGTGCTGCTTTAGGGAGCCTTCATCACTGGGTAGAGATTTTACATTTTTTAAAAAGCCTACTTTTCATTTTTGTAGATTCTCCTTTATTTTGTTGTGTTAAGTCTGATCATCCACTTTCAAAGCAGATTCTGTAGTAACCCCTGATATAACTCCTTTTGCCATTGGTCAAGGTGTGGTCCCAACCAAGTCTAGGTTTTGACCCTCCTGAGTAGGTAAGATCAATTAACTTTAATGAGAGAAAAGGGAATACGATTTTTCTGGTGTATGAATGATGTCAGAAATATTTCTCATGACTATTGTCTTTTTGGACTTTAAAATTAATACACTTTATAATTTTTGAAGTTGGAGGTAATCTGAAAATTTGTGGGGATTTTATGTTGTTGTTTTTGGTGGTCCTAGGGTTTGAACTCAGGGCGCTGAACTTGCTGGATAGGCTCTTTACTACCTGAGCCATCAATCTAGCCTTGCAGTGTGAAAATTTGATCAAAGAAAAAGGAATCAGGGATGGGGGCGTGGCTCAAGTATTAGAATGCCAATCTAGCCTGACTTCAAACTCTAGTAATGCCAAAAAAAACCTCTGCATATCTTATATTCCACTTCTCTTAATAGTTTGACATTTAATTTTTGAAACAGGGTCTCTGTATAGCCCAGATTTCCCGTCAAGCTGGGGGTCTTTCCTTTGCCTATAGAGTACTGGAATTAGAGTCATGTGCCACTAACATTAGGTTTTATATCATTTTTACTTTAAGGATTTTTCTTTTTTTCAGGTGTCTCCATGTGATTGCCTTTTATCTTTTTTTCATCTGGTTTTCTTCCATTATAGTTGTGTATCTGATTGACCTGTGTTGTAATAAACAGAAATAGTCAGTCTAGGAAGTGGAAAAGCTTTGTTCTGGAGTTAATTAACTCTTTATTTTTGAGTAGTGTTTGTGAGACAAAATCTGGATACTTACCCCAGGATGGCTTTTGCTATCTTCATACTTCAGCCTTCAGACTGCAAATAGTTTGAAAAGTAGCATAACTTTGAAATTTTGTGTCTGATATTTATTATTTACCCACTTTTGTCAGTTTGTAGGAAGATATTTATTTAGATATATTTTGGTTTAACTTCTGTTTTTGTGACTACAAACCATTGTAGTCTTTTTTCTATTTTGTAATCTTTGATTCAGGCTCAGGATCCCAATATGGTGGATTTCTTTGGAAAGGCCTCATCCTCTTTCAAAATACAAAATATGCCATAACCCATAACCAATGAGTATTTGGCTTAGTGGTAGGTTTTTTTTTTCTTTTCTTTTTTTTTGGGGGGGGGACAGGGTCTTAACTACATAGCAGTACTGCTGCCTGCTTCAACCTCCAAAGTGCTGGGATTGTAGCGCCTGGCATTTCTAGGGCCTTTTGTAGGTAGGGTGTGTGTGTCCTTCCTCTGATTTAGATGAGTGAATTTTATTAGAGGGACCCTTATATTGCTCTTCAGGGCAGAGTTTTACCTGTTTTATTCAGAGAACTTATTTTATGTTAACTTGATTTCCATTTTATATCTGGTCACTGTTTCATGACTAGTACTTCCCCATTTACATGTTTATTTCTCCCTCCTTTCTTAATATTCTTTTTTCTATTCCAAAAACAATTCACATTTAAAGTGTGATCTTCTAACTTAATATGTTGTATTTGTTACTATGCTCTGTTACTTAACTATTTTTAGGAAGAATTCTTTGAGGTTTTTTTGTTTTTTGTTTTTTCATTAGAAACGGGATCTTTCTCTGTAGCCCATGATTGCCATGAATTCACTAGACAGCTCAGGATGGCTGAGAACTTAAAATTCTTCTCATTTAGTCTTCAGGTTTTATGAAAAATTAAAAACAAAGTGTAAGTGCTGACCAAAACAGTTTTTAAGCATGTTTCCTCTGTATGGCTTAGGATTTTTCCCTGGCCTTGTCTCCCCATTTCACTTTTGTAGCTCATAGCCAGAAAGACTGAGTGAGTGTTACTGCCAGCCTCATAAGCTGTTAAAGGTAGGACATAGAAGTTGGCTATTTTGTCTTAAAATTGTTGAATACTAGCTGACCCGAAGTTTTGTTTTGGAAGCATGTTTTTCTTATGTTAAGCAAATGCAGACTAGCAGGGTATCATAGTATTTTCCTGTTTTTATTTTATTATCCCTGATACCATCATTGGACTTTTAAAGTATAAAGCATTTTGAATGTTTTATAAAATTTTTCCATTAACTGGTAATTTTCTGTAATGTTTGTTTCTGTATTGGAATGAAGGCAGGAAGTTCATAAATGTATCTGTTTGCATATGACTGTATGTGCAGTTAACTTCAATGCTTTCGAAATAAAATTCATAATGATTTTATATTTAGTTTTAAAATAAGTTTAATTTGGAAAATTAACATAATGGAATATTATTGTATGATGACTGTTGTCTTAAACTGAATCCTTTTCATGTTAAGGAATAGATATGAATTGTTAGAGGAATTTCCATTTCTCAAATAACCTTATGTTGTAATATTCTCATGTGCTAATTAGCCACTTGTATATCTTATTTGGAAAATAGTCTATTCAGAACCTTTATAGCCATCTTGAAAATAGATTTTGTGTTTTTATTTAGTTGTAAGAATTCATTATATTCTGATTTCAAGACTGAAAAATCACTTTATTGAACTATGATTGACATACAAATACAATATTTAATGTATGTAAATTGGTGTTAGGAGATAAGTATACAATTTTGACACCATCACAATCTGTGCCATAAATTGATCACTTCCTAAAGCCCTACCCATTTTCTGTTGTCTGATGGTTTTTATTTTGTTTTGGAAATTAGATTCCCATGAACTATATTTTGTTTCTTTCTCCTGGTTGTTGTTTCACTCTGTTTAGTGTCCTTGTTAAATTCAAATTTACCTACTTATTTCATAAGTTACTTTTAATTTAAATCACAATTAAGGGACTATTTTGCCCAATCAAAGATCACTAAGATTAGTAATCTATAAAATTTTACTACTTAAAAACCGAATATGTATGTGTACTTAATTTAAAATTATTTCCATGGCTCCATTGGAACCATAAAGTTCTTAAAAATAGCAAAACAACTGGGATGAATATTACTTTTAAAAATCTAACACTCCTTTTAAAATTATATAAGGTTTAGAAAATTACTTTTTGAGTTCTGCCTTTCAGATTTTATTGGAATGAATTTTGTAAAAAGCCTTTTCTTCTGTTCTTTCTGGTTCGGTATTTGTAAGTTGCAGTTTTATGAATGGCTCATGTACTTCTTCACATGGCTGCCTCAAGTGGGCAGTTTGATTCTCAAGTTTCCTAGAGCAGCCATTTTGTGAATATTAACATGGTGTATTTTTTTCTCATGTTGATACCTTTTTTAAGAAGCTGTTTTGCAAATCCTAAGAACACAACATTTGCATTAGAAAATTTTTTACTGAAATTTTGTGACTTAAGTTTTATTATTCCTACTATATAAAAGGATTATTGTTATAAAAAATATTTTCCCAGACTGGTTTGCCATTTTTGGTGGGGAGAGTAAGTAGATATTGGTGGTATGTTTTGTTTATACCTGTTGATATGTGTGCCTGTTACATGTATATGTGTATTTATATATATATAAATCTATAAACATGTTCTTATGTTTGTATGGATCATAGATAAAAGTTAATATATTATTTTACTTCATTTTCTGATCTTTCTAAACCAGATTTTCTGATAGGATGGACTTCTAAAAGCATAGAACTTAACTGAAGTGTAAGATCTTGTAATATTTTAATTTGTTTTAATTAGATTGTGGGCACTTAAATTGCATCATATTAAATATAGTTTAAATGTAGATCAGAATGTTACCTTTAAAAAAAGTGTTTCAGTCAATGAAGTCTGTCCAGCAAATTTTTCTTTATTTCAGGGATCGCTTACACCTGAGACGAACTACAGAACAGCACGTGCCAGAGGTGGAAGTCCAAGTCAAAAGAAGGAGGACAGCCTCACTGAGCAACCAAGAGTAAGTACAGTTGGGTTGAGAACCAATTAAGATTAGAATCCTGTTTGAGATTAAAATAACATATCAAACAACAAAGTGATAAAATGAATTTAAATTTAATTTTAGTAACAGATGCATATAATTCAGATGCAGCAAAACAATGAAATCATCTCTGTGTGTTCTAACTTAACCTCTGATTTCCTTTTTTCTATATGTGAGTATGGGTTGATACTTTCATAAATTCTGTATTTATTCTTTAGAATATGAATATTTAAGTTATTTCTACTTTATATAATTAACTCATTCTGTGTGCTTGTAAGTTTTTATGTGCATTAAAGACACATTAATGTATGTATTTGTTATTGTTTTAAAAATGTTTTTTAGGGGAGTGCATTTTGTCCAGCTAAAAAATTTTTTTAATGTGGTACTTGGGTTTGAACTGAGGCCTACACCTTGAGTTACTTACCAGCCTTTTTTGTGATAGGTTGTTTTTTTGAGATACGGTCACTTGAAATATTTGCCTGGCTGACTTTGAACCTTGATCCTCCTGATCTCTGCCTCCTGAGAAGCAAGGATTACAGGCATGAGCCACTGGCACTGGCACTTGGCTAAAGCTTATTGAAATTCAATATAGTTCCATTTCCAAATCTAGCTTCTTGTGATTATTTTCTTATATATGTATGTATTTTGTATGTATTTTATGTGTCTTTTCTTTCCCTTATCAACAAGAACAGAATTGCTGGTGTTTCCTTCCTCCTGTTCCTCATATCTCACCTTTCTTGCTATCTAGTATTGTATCATTTCCTACATCTTTCCCTTCTCAAGATCATATTCACAGTGAAGTTACCTGACCCATACAGATGAACCTTGTGCTTTCCTGTCATTATGTGCTTACTACTAGATGCGTGCTCCTAAATATCTTTGACTCTGAAAGTAGTGACTTCTTAGGATGAATATGGATGACGTCTTTGATGTCTCACTGAAAATTCTTTAGCAAATCTCACCCCTACCATAGGAGAATGAGTAGTTTCCATATTGTATAATTGGAAAATGGATGATGGTATGGTGCTGTAGGTATTTCTACATGGGTAATGATAGCTCTTGGGTTTTCATTTCTTATAATATATTCACATGCAGAGTAAGTATCCACTAGTTTCTTAAGTTATTTCTGTGTTCAGAGACTGCTGCTTAGTTCATAGCTAAATCATAAACGGAATGACATGATATAACCCAAAAGGAGGGTCTGTTAAAATATAATGTATTTTTCACATCGTTATCTATATCTATCTATAAATGACTTTTTGTCACATGTATATATTGTGCTCTTGTCATAGGTGTCAGTTATACCCAAGGCGTTCTCAGCAGCAACAGATTCCTGTGGTGGATTTCCAAGCGGAACTGAGACAGGCCTTCTTAGCTGAGACACCAAGAGGTGGTTAAAGCATTATTGGAACATCAAGGTAGCTGATTTCAGGAATAAAACCAGGTTAGAGCGGATACTGAAATAATCAGAAATAAAATATTAAAGCATGGGATTTGTAGTTTAATTGATATTAAAATAATTTCACTAGCTAGGAACTGATGGCTCACACCTTTTTTTTATTCATATGTGCATACAAGGCTTGGATCATTTCACCCCCCTGCCCCCACCCCCTCCCTTACCACCCACTCTACCCCCTCGCTCTCCCCCCCACCCCCTCAATACCCAGCAGAAACTATTTTGCCCTTATTTCTAATTTTGTTGTAGAGAGAGTATAAGCAATAGTAGGAAGGAACAAGGGTTTTTGCTGGTTGAGATAAGGATAGCTATACAGGGCATTGACTCACATTGATTTCCTGTGCGAGGCTCACACCTTTAATCTTAACTATTTAGAAGGCTAACATAAGGAGGATTGCCATTCTAGACCAACGTGGGCAAATAGTTTGGAGACCCTATCTCTAAAATAGCCACAGCACAATGAACTGAAGTTGTGACTTAAGCTGAAGAGCCTTGCTTTGTAAGTATGAAGCCTCTGACTTCAAACTCCAGTCCCACCAATTTTTTTTTCATAATAGCTTCTACACCTAAGCACCATAAAAATAGATTCATACAATAAATACATTGAATAAAATTTAAGGCAGTAGAAGTATGACCTTAATGTCCTTGCCCTGACACTTGTCATGTTAATGGATTATAATATTTATAGTGCATTTTATGGAGATACTAGGCTATGATTAGTTGTCAAATATAGTTTTCTTTTTTGGCAGTCATGGAGATTGAAATCAAGGTTTCACACTTGCTAGGCAAGTGCTCTAATCTTCAGCCATGCCTCTGCCCCTATAGTTCATCTTTTAGGAAATTTTATTCTGCATTAATTTTCATGTTTATATGGAAAAGTCAGTATGAATGGATGTTGAATGTCTTGATCAATGTTTTCTAATTCACTTTTGTTAGAGACTTTATTTTTTGTTAATAGTTTGCAAAGTATTGTTAGTTTTCATTACCTTTAAGAGTAGTGACCCAGTTAACAGAACACTTTGATAGCATTTAATTAATTACAATTCAGTGGATGTAAATGATGTAAATGCATGTCACATTCATTACCAATGAGTAATTTCCCATGGAAATTTACTAATTATATCTTTGTTTTGTCTTTTTCTCACTTTTCTTTTCTCATCAATGTATTTCCTCTTTAGCCAGCAGATAATGTAATAAAGATACGATCTATAATTTTTCAATGTGATGTAGATTTATTGAGTTTGTTCTTTTATGTTGGTTGTTTCCAGTTTTTTCAAAAACTACTGAGAAATTTGAGTTAGTACTTTGTTTTTCTTTTGAATTTTTTTTTATTTTAAGATTGCAGTGTCTTTATTCCTGGTGATTTAACTAATACATATTTTAGAAAATTGAAGATCTAAGAAGAAGGAGGTTTATGGATGATTTCCATTTTATTTTCTTTGTTTTTGGTTTTAAAACAATGCCCATTCACATGAATTTATCACCACCATTTTGAGTTTACTTTGAAGAGACCAACTTTTCTGAGAAATTGATTTTCGAATTCTTTATATCCAACATTTAGTAATTACTTGGTCTTGGTGTAGTAATTACATGAACTTGTTGTAAATAGATAGTAGAATTTGATTATCTCCAAGGCTCCCCAGAATAAAGTCATTTTTCAGTGAGTTGGTATACACAATTGATTTTTAAAAAAATTTTTGAGATAGGGTCTCCTTATGTAGCCTAGTTTGGCCTTGACCTCAAAATCCTCATGCCTCAGTTTTGTGAGTTCTGGGATTAACAGATATGTGCCACCATGCCTGGATACAATTAAATAAATTTTTTTTACTGTATTGGGATTGAACTCAGGGCCTCACCTTGCTAGGAAAGCACTCTACTTCTTGGCTCGCATTCCCATCTCTTTTTGATTCAATTTTCTTTTTCTAGTACTGGGGTTTGAATTTTAGGACACATTCTTGCTGGGCAGGTGCTCTGCCATTCCACCAACCATTTTTTGTGTTGGGCATTGATGAGATACCACCTCGAGGACTGTTTGCCCTGACTGACTGCTTTGAGTCCTGAGTAGTTGGGATATAAGATTGAGCCTCCCCAGCACCTCTGCTTTAACTTTTTAGATAGTATTTCTACTTTTGCCTAGGGCCACCCTGGTACTTTGATCTTCCCATGTCCACCTACAATTGATGTTTTTACCTAAGAATTTTCTAGCTTCTTCAATTCACAAGTTCTCTTAATTTCTATGTGTAATAATAAAAATTATACATTATGATCTGCAAGTGGAACCATTTAATTTTTTGATAATTTATCTTGTTTATTCTACTCTAAATTAAATGTTCTACCTAAATGGTATTGGTATTGGATTTCTTTATGTCATGGATTGGTGAAGCATATCATCTACAACCTTTTTGTAAATAAAATATATCAGAACATGGTGTATATAAAGTCTGTGACTGCATATGCTATAGTGGCAGTTTGAATAGTATGACAGATTAAAGGATAGGCACCACATAAAATTTTAAGATGTTGTTCTCCTTAAAAATAGTTTGTTGAATCTGGGTGGTGGTGGCTCACTCCTGTAATCCTAATTACTCAGGAGGCAGAGATCAGGAGGACCATGGTTTGAAGCTAGCCCAGGTAAATAATTCCCAAGACCCTATCTTGAAAAAATACTTCACAAAGGGCTGGTGTAGTGGCTCAAAGTGTAGACCCTCAGTTCAAACTTCAGTACCTTGTTTTGCAGAACCAAATGCAAAACAGAACAAAATATAAGGTAGCATTGATACTAAAGAGTGTCGTAGAGAAAGGTGTGGCATAGGAAGAATATGACATGAATTTATGAATTGCACATTACACTTGGTAGAAAAATACGTACTTCTGGACTAAGGCAAAGATCTAAGACTCATGTAAGCAGTATAGATAGAAGGGTAGTTTTTTCTAATGTTAGCAATTGATAACCTTTTCTTTTTCTTTCATTATATTATAAACTACTTGATAGCCATAAAAGTGGGAAAGTAAAATCAGTTTGAGTATCCTTAATCTAGAAAATCCAAAGTGTTCCAAAATATGAAACTTCGGGCACCATTATGATGCTATAAGTGGAAAATTGCATACAATTAAACTCTTTTCAAGCCAGGTATGTGGTGATGCATTCCTGTAATCCCAGTAGTACAGTATTCAGAATATAGATTGAAGAGAATCATAAGTTTGAGGTCATTCTAGGCTACATAGACCCTGTTTCAAACAACAAAAAAAGAAAAAAACCAAACACTTTGTTGAAAGGTCAAAATAATTATAAGGCTTGTATCAAATTTACCTTCGGGCTATGTGTGTAATGTATAAATAAATCAAATGAGGTTTGTGTTTCAGTTTGGGTCCCATCAATCGATCAATGTATCTCATTTACATTATATATATATATATATATTTCATATATATATGAATATTCCCTATTCTTAAAAAAATTACAGACCATTTCTACTTCTAAGCAGTTTGGGATTCACAGCCTGTAGTTCTATATATTTTTGGTATTTAAAAATTTAGTAAAGTATCAAGTTTGACATGTAGGATGTATGAGGTTTTTTTGGTTTTAGTATGATTGTCAATATTGTGTTACATCATCTCATAAGAGCATCCCAGGGCATGATGGTTACCATAAAAATTATTAGACTGTTTCTCAGAGTATTTTCCTTTATTTCTTGTTAATATTCTGAAGAGAAATTTTTTATGGTTTTAATTGGTATTACTTTGTGGGTGAGCATTTTGCATTCAGTTGTATTGTCTCCCATTACTCATTGCTAATTGTGCACATTTTTCTATAGTGAGTCTGTCATAATTTCAAATTTTAATAGAGTTGAATGAACTCCATGATGTTTAATTAATTGTATGTGTTTGGTCAAGCCTTGTTATCTTTTAGTTTTAACTTACAGTAGGTTTATATTTGAAAGTGCACACATTCTGAAAGTTTGAGAACTTTATTTTCTTTGAGTAACCCAGGTTTTTCATTTGCCACATGCCCTTTGATCTGAGAAGATACACTGTGACTTCTCATCCATCATTTCTTGTGACTCTCCTACTACTCCTGTCCTCTTCCTTATTAAGTGCTTTTTATTCCTCCTTTGCTGTAGAGGTAAATTTGATCATTATACAAAGTGATTTATTTTCTTACCTTTAACAAGGGTTCAAATTATGGTGTGCCATAATTATGGATGAGAGAGAACTTTTCCTAAATTTCAAATTCCATCTCCTTAAGGGAATCCTTTTTTTTTTAACTCTTCTAGGCAGGAACTCCTGATTTCTATGCGAAACTTAATTTCTATTTCTACAGGTATTTTTTTGTATATATTACATATCCAGTACCATGGACAACCCTTTCTTAAGGTCATACTGCAAACCCCACGATGCATATTCTTCCTTTATATTTACGTATACTGGGTAGCAGTATATTATGGGGATATAGGGTTGGTTAGCCTCAAATTGTTAGGATTCTGGACTGCACAGTAATTGGCCTTCCAAACTTTTTAACAATGAAGTCTTGTTTAGATCTGTTGTTTCTGCAACAAATATCCAAGAAGTGTGGGTAATGACTAAACATCTTCATGATGTGAAAATAATTTCAACTGAGGCTGGTTGGGGTATCTGTACACTGAAATCTTTTGGCACCTAGTACATTTGTCTGTGTATGTTAGCCTAATACAACTTCTACATTTAAGAAGATTACAAATTCCTACTTTAAAAAGTTCTCATGGAACTAATACAACTGCAATTAAATTTTTGGAATCAGTGTTTGGGCACTGTGGTACTTGCCTGTATTCCCAGCTGCTCAGAAAGCTGAGGCAGGAGGATTGCAAATTTAAAGAAAAATTGGAATCACAGGGAAGTATTCATTCTACATTATACGTCCTTACTTGAAGTATTACTTTCATACCATTATATTCTCTATTCAAACTACATATTTCTACATGGAAAGGCCTCAAAACTTTCATTTATTTTGTTCTTAGGTTCTATTTTTGGTTTTAATGTATTGAAGTAAATGATTCTAAATATTCACCTACTTGGGCTGGGAGTATAGTTCAATGATAGAGTACTTACCTAGTATGCATGAGGCACTGGGATTGATCCCTAGCTGAGGAATTTTAAAATGACCTAATCAGTTTAATTTGCTGTTGCCAAATGATATCTATGAAGAATTGTGGAAAACAATCCTATTGGAAGTTTTTGTGCCATTCAAAGTACAGTTATGCTGAGTGTGGTGATGTTTGCAGGTACTTAGTACCTGGGAAGCTGAGGCAGTAGGACTTAAAGTTTGAGCCCAGCCTGAGCTACTTAATAAGATGCTGTCTCACAAAAAAAGTGCAGTTACATCAGCTATTATAAAATGCTGCTCTAATTGTCTGAATCCAAATTCTCATCTTAAAATGATACAGTTTAATTTGGGCATTATGTCCTGTAATTTAGGCACTTAGGATGTTGAGGCAGGAGGAACCTGAATTCCAGGATAGCCTGGGATACATAGTGAAACACTGTCTAAACAACAACAAAACAACACACACACACACATATACACACACACACCCCAATTTGTGTTTTACTTTGTAGTTAGTATGATCAGCCGTTTGAGACACTGTATAATACTGTTTGATTTGGTTCCATTGGAAGTTTTAAGGAGATTCTTGGTAAGGAAAGATTATTTAACGTCATTTTGAAAGGACTTGAAAGGAAAGAATATACAATTGAAAAACTTTAGGTGTTGAGCTAGTTGTAAATTTTGGAAATGGAAACTGGGAGGATGAATATTTTTGGAATATGTGTGCTGTGGTGAATTGTTTTGGAAAATTGCCTTTTTAAAAGCATTTTAGATTGTAGTGCAGCTATAACATGCTTTCCTCTGCAGGATCCACCCACTGTTTGTGAAGCTTCTGCCCAGCTTGCATTGTTTCTAGGAGAACCTGCATCATACCTTTATATATAGCCTTCCCCTAGGTATTAAGGATCCTGAAATCTTAACTGTCAACACCGGATTTTGTGGAACAGCAATCATGGTAAGATGTACATTACAGCAGTTGGATGTTAGCTGGTATAATGGTCCAAAATGATGACTTCCCAATATGTTGAGTTCTGAAAGAAATAGAGTTTAAACTATGGAGGTGAATACATATTCCATGATTCAAGAAATAAGGTAGTTTTTGACCATGATTATAGTTTTAAGGGACAATCCTGTTGATAGGTGACTTTTTAGGTCTGGTGGCAGTTGACACAGACTACCTTGAAAATAGAAGGTTTTTTAATTGATTAATGTAGAGCAGTTGAATATGGATAGAGACAGCATCCTAACTAGAGTTCTGTGATTTTAACAATCTAGAACATTCATTCTCAGTGACAAAGGTATCACTTGCAAGTACTAGCAATTAGTGAGGTGTGGGAAACCTTTTTTTGTTCATACTTCATAGTTTTCCATTATTATAATAATAATTATTATTACATTGTTATAGATGCAACATGTCTTTATATTAAAATCTCAGAAGGGTATGTGAATAAGATAAAAATTACAGTGGTTCCTTAAGGAGAACAAAAATGAAATAGAAGAAAGGGTAGAGAAATAATGATCACAAGTGTTGAGTAATAGTGGTGTGTGTGGTGGGTCTGGGAGGCCTTTGGAGAGTTTAAAATTATGTTATGCTTTCATTGAGTTGGTATGATTTGCAGTTTTTGATTTCAGGTAAGAATTTTGTAGGGTGATAGAAACAGGTCACAGAATCAAGTGTTCTGTAGGAAGGTGATACTTCAGAAGGGAAGGCTTCAAAGGAGGAACTGGGCTGAGGTATCTGGAGATACCTCTATCTTCAAGAAAATGTGATGATACAAAGCTTATTAGGATTGTGAGAAGTAAGCTTCTTAGTTAAATGAGTGTAAATGGGCCTAGGTCCAAATTTGGTTTAGTATATTTAGAAAGTGGAGAAACTAAGTTTGGATAGGAGTTGGGGAAGAAATGAAGGAAGGTTCAAAAACTAGGATGCAATGGAGCCAATCACTGATACTCCTTTACTACTTACAGACTGTGGGCAAGAGTAGCAAGATGCTGCAGCACATCGACTATAGAATGAGATGTATCCTGCAAGATGGCCGTATCTTCATTGGCACCTTTAAGGCTTTTGACAAGCATATGAATTTGATTCTCTGTGATTGTGATGAGTTCAGGAAGATCAAGTAAGGCAGATTTGGGTAATAGTTGGGGGAGGCAGAGGCAGCAGGGAAGACAAGGTCAGAGATGCAGTAGAGGTTACAAAGTGTAGCAAATGGGTAGAGAAACTACCTCTTCTCTACATTGGGGTAGAGCCTTAAAGTAATCACAACCAAACCTTAAGCTTGCCAAAAAAATTACAGACTAGAGGGAATAAGAAAATGTACAATATGATCAAATAATACTGGATAGCATTGCAGCATTTTCAAAATTGAGAAATATTGTCTTCTAAAACAGTCTTTCAGACTGAAGGAATCTTGGTGGAGAAAGAATTACTGCCTTTCATGGTAGAGAAGTTGGGACATGATTTACCAGTTAGTATCCCCTTTGATTATTGCTGTTCCCATTCCTTAGTTATGAATGATTTTTTTTAAAAATTACTTTCCATTTTAACATAGAAATTGAGGCATTACTTTTGCCTGTCTTAAAAGGTTTAGAAATTCATTTTGTAGTGTTTATATAATACATAATTTCAAGGAAACATTTTGGAAAACACAGAATAAGACTTTACTGTTAGCACATGTTAACTAATTCTGCAGTTTTGAGGGGTGCGCAACTTTTTAGTCTTTATAATCATGCTGTTGTACTGGGGTACATTGACATTTACAAATGTTCTTAAAATGAATCATAGTTAAATTCACCCCCTCCATCATTCTCCTTTATTTCCCCTCCCCCTACTCCTAGAATAGTTTCAACAGGTCCGTTTTTGTCTTTATTGGTACTTTAGAGTGAGTAATCTAGGATTCACTGAAATTTATTGCACTAAAATTTATTTCTGATTTATAGGCCAAAGAATGCAAAACAGCCAGAGCGTGAAGAAAAACGGGTTTTGGGTCTTGTGTTGCTGCGTGGGGAGAACTTAGTATCCATGACTGTGGAGGGGCCACCTCCTAAAGACGTAAGGAAAATGTAGGGCGGGACAGACCCTGTCTTTTCTTGTGAGATTTTTTTAATTGACATAAAGAACTGAACTTTAATGTGATAGGCATTACGTTGTTTGCGATGTCTGAAGTCGGAGAATAACAGTCACAGAATACTGCTCAGCGCTGTCAGTTCTTGGGCAATTCTTCTCTTAGGAATTAAGGGGTTTGATTATTCTATGTACTGGGTGCTGCCCACGTTATGGAAAGAGTTGATAATTTATTTGTATTTGGCATGATTATACAAGTATGTGTCTACACAGTTTGAAAGGAATCTGGAGGGTTACTCCATGCTGCATTTGCTTATTTATTCATTTGAATACAGAACTAATATGAAACAGGTAGCATGGAAAATGGTGGGTAGAGTTGATCTTTGAGTAAAACTACATGTGGCTTTATGCTATACCTTTTCTTGTTTCAGACTGGCATTGCTCGGGTACCACTTGCTGGAGCTGCAGGAGGTCCAGGGGTTGGGAGGGCAGCAGGCAGAGGAGTACCAGCAGGTGTACCAATTCCCCAGGCTCCTGCTGGATTAGCAGGCCCTGTCAGAGGAGTTGGAGGTCCATCCCAGCAGGTGAGGATATGGAAGACATTAGATTAATCAGAAAATGTGAGAAAACTTGAGACTGCATCATAACCCTATTTAAAGCTCATGTTCTAGCAAGAATTTACAGACAAAAATAAATGTTTGTGAAATTAAAGCTAAGTTGATAAGAGGAACATGCCATATGATGAGTAAAGAAAAATGGGTTTCCAGGCCAGACTTGAAAAGGCAAAAGAGCTTAGTAGATGTCAATACGCAGAGATATTTTTTTAAGTATGGGAGTGAGGGTCTAGGGATGTAGTTCGGTCAGTGGTAGAGTAGCTTCAAAATTTCAGTGGTTATTAGTATCTCATAGAACACATCCATAGTTTATTTTCTATGTTTGAAAATACTGTTTTTCTCTCCATGCTTTCTCAGGTAATGACTCCACAGGGAAGAGGCACTGTAGCAGCTGCTGCTGTTGCTGCTACTGCCAGCATTGCTGGAGCCCCAACCCAATACCCACCAGGACGGGGGACTCCACCCCCACCTGTAGGTAGAGCAACCCCACCTCCAGGTAAGGAATTTGTTAAGAACAAGAATAACTTGGGTATCTGAGATATTTTATGGCATCTTGAGGAAGTGATAGCTCAAAATACTTGGAATAAGATAATTTATTAAGATATAATCTAAATGCCTAATTAGGAATTTAGGCACTCTATTAGGTAACTATTTTTGAATGAAGGCTATGGGTTTTAAATTGAGAATAGCATATAGGGAGAATATTGGAAGAGAAATTCTATGATCATTTTATTGGTATTAGTTCATTTCTTTCATTTTGGTGTGACTGGGGTTTGAACTTAGGGCTTCAAGCTTACAAAGCAGGCACTGTTGCTTGAGCCATACATCCAGTTCCCTTTTTTCTGGTTATTTTGAAGATGGGTGTCATGAACTATGATCCTCCCAATCTCAGCTTCCCAAATAGTTGGGATTATAGCTGAGACTGGCAGGTTCATTTCTCTGAGCATCACTTGAGGTTGAACTCTAATAATTTTTCCTTTGTCATTTATTTTCTTTTTCAGGCATTATGGCTCCTCCACCTGGTATGAGACCACCAATGGGCCCACCAATTGGACTTCCTCCTGCTCGAGGGACACCAATAGGCATGCCCCCTCCAGGAATGAGACCCCCTCCACCAGGTATTAGAGGTGAGAATTATAGGAACTCAAGAATGCCAGCCAAGTCCTTGAATGCTTATATTCTCTATTAAAAACTTTCACGGAATTATGTTTTCCTTTCCAGGTCCACCTCCCCCAGGAATGCGTCCACCAAGACCCTAGGATACTGTTGATCTGTATCAGTCACATTTTGCCCTGCAATGCATCTTGTGAATTTGTGTAGACTGTTTGTGAGCTTTTTGTCCCCTCTTTCTGCATTAATGATAGCTAATAATAAATGCATTGAGCAATTAAACTGTGAGGCATTGTTGTATATTTTTTTATTCCTGTTGATTTTGTTGAGGTCAAGAGTGAAACTAGATTTTTCAAGTCTTGAAATTACTTTTGATGAGGTAACTTGTGTTAAGAAGTTTATTTGAATCTTTTTCTCTTTCATGGTGCTAGCTTTTTCTGCCTCCTGCCTTTTTTTGTACATTGACTGGTATTGGTTTATAGGCCATTGTGCTAACATTCACACATGGTCTTACAGTTCTCACTTTTAATATTTCATGGTATCTGAATGAATGTGGGGATAGATGAAAGGCCTTGTAAGGTCACCTGATTACTGAAAGACATTGTGGCACTGACTTTGACTCTAATCTCATTAAATTAAAGTATTTGAAATAGGGAGAAGTTTACCTCAGTTGATCAGCTTTTGCAGTGCTTCTGTTCTATCCAAATAGAAGATGTGATTCTGGAATGAACTTTGTCTACCAGTGAGTAAGTATTCATTTAGTAAATACCAAATGAGTGTCAATGCCTGGGCATCAGAAGGCAGAAGGTTGCATGTTTTAGATAATTAATTGAGTTTATTACTTAAAGATAACTTGTACAGCATAATTGGCAAACTAAAATTGATACTAAGATTATCCCCAACCAGGCTTCAGTGGCTTATGCCCATAATCCTAGCTACTTAGGAGGCTGAGATCCTGAAGATTGTGTTTCAAGGCCAGTCCAGGCAAATAGTTCTAAAGATCCTGTCTTTAAAATAACCAAGTGGAAATGGACAGGAGGTGTGGACTCAAGCAGTAGTGCACCTGCTTTGCAAGCTTGACGTCCTGAGTTCAAACTCCTGTTCCACCCCCAAAAAAAGATTATCCCTCAACCTCATCACTAGGGAGGTACTACAAGTGTTGAGAGAAACAATGTTTAATAAGTTAGGGAATGCTGGAGTATCTATTTCTAATTTACCTGCAAATGACAAAATTTTACTCTACTTCATGGCTGAATAAAATTCCATTGTATATAAATACCACATTTTCTTAACCCTGTAATTCTGTATTCTCATGATTTTTTTCTGTAGTAGTGATTGTCTATGTCATCTATTTTACCTTTTAAGCCATATCCTTGCCAGTGGTAGTTACCCAAGGAAAATGAACCATCAACATGGTGGCTCATGCCTGCAATCCTACTTACTTAGGAAACAGAAAATGTGAACATTGCTATTTGAGGCCAGTCTGGTCAAAAAATTACGGAGACTCCATTTCAACCAATAGCTGTATGGGCTGGCTTATACTTGTCATCCCATCTACAGTGGGAAGCTTACAATAGGAGGATTGAGGTACATTCTCACCTGGGCAAATAATACGACCCTATCTCTAAAATAACCAGAGTAAAAAGGGCTGGAGGTATGACTGAAGTGGTAAAGCACCTGCCTATCAAGCCTTATGCCCTGAGTTCAAACTCCAGAACTGCCAAAATTTAAAAAAGAAGAAAAGAAAAAGGAATCACAATGTGACTACAGTTATTGTTGCCAACATTTTAACTATCATCTCTGTCAGTGGTTTGTAGGATTTATGGTTATTAACTATGTGATAAGAAACAAAGTATGTAAGCCTTAGTTGGTTTAAGAGATTTATATAGTATTAATATACTAATATCATTGTTTGGCATTTTTTTCAGAGTTTGTAAATGTTAAGACAAACTTTGTGGATTCACCAAAGCCCCAACCAAGAGTACTTTTCTCTTGGAGACAAAGCCATTCAGTTAAGACAAAATTATCTTTAATATGACAGTGTGGTTGGCATATAAAAAAACCCATCTGCCCCATCTGTTCTTTGAACCTGCTTGTAATTGTGGGGTTTTCCCCCGGTGTTTTGAAGGGAAAACATTTCTTACCTGTCTGCTAGGAGAATTTAGAGCTTGACATGAACGGAGTGGTAACACATTCTATTTGAAGAAAACCTGTTTTGTAATGCAGTTCCCTAACTAGAGATGGCATGTTCATAAGTTAAAACTAAATTATAAGAGCTCTAAATAGTACGAGATACTCATTTTAATAGCTATTTTGCTTGTGACAATGGTAGTCATTTGTGCTTGGAGCTCCCAGTTTTTTGAGAAATGTGGATTGTATATTAGAAGGCATCATGGGACAGATTTCATATAATTGAGGAGGGATTTAATGTAGGTGTGTGATTCTTTTGTTATAGATTGTAGATCTGTTCTGCATCAGGTTCCTTTAGGTACAAACATCATACCAGTTTTCAAACATTATTGGAGGTAAATGCTTAGAAATCAGCATATATTCTTACATTCATATGAGTGAAAGCTTATCTCCATGTAAAACAACTTTCTGATTTTCTGACTCCATAAACATTTATGTTGCATATCATATTTGATACATAATCCTTGCTTTGGTTTAAGAAACAGTTTCAAATGTAATTCTGTGATTTTGTAGTAGTTATTGTCCTTAAAGTAACTTTCTGATTTTCTGACTCCATAAATATTCATATTGCATATCATATTTTGATACATATCAGTGTGGTTTAAGAAACAGTTTCAGATGGAATTCTGGGATTTTTGAAATAGTGTCTCACAAACTATTTGCTGGCTTTGAACTGCAGTCCTCCTGATCTCTGCTTCCTGAGGTAGCTAGAATTACAGGCATGAGCCACTGGTGCCCGGCTGAAAAAATAATTTTTTTGGTGGCAGTGGGGTTTGAATTTAGGGTCTTGCGCTTGTTAGGCAGGCAGTCTATCACTTGAACCATTCACATATCCCTTAAAAGAATTTTTAAAAATATAATACACGGGTTTATAGAAGTTCTTAGTTAAAATACTGTAAGTAGGGACTATTTTACATAAATCATAATTTGATAATCATAGTCATGTTATTCCTTTAGGGAGGTCATAAGTTTGTTTCAAAGATTAGGAAAAAGGCATATAGGATGGCATACAGCATGTTGAAATTTACTTACAAGTAGCATGTTGCAGCCTCTACTATAATGGGTGAAATTTTCATGTGTGTCCTCCAGTTGATGATTCTTGCTTATCAGGGCATCCTAGTTCTCCCCTTTCCTATTCATGTGCATAATTTCAGTATGTGAATTTTATGAAATATACAAAGGCATATTATGGTTTTGTATTAGAATGACATATCTTGAATTGGAATATTTGTGTTCATACTTTTTCAGTCTCATGGTACCCTTTTGCCAACTTAGTTGATGACTCAAGGAAAGGGAGAATTTGGTCAGTGAATTTTTGTCATCAGTTGGATCCTACCCAGTAGTATGGCAACAAGGCTGAAAATCATTACCTGTGTTTAGGACAGAAATCTAAACCATTCCAGGTAATGTAACGTGTAAGTAAAAATAAGTATTTCAGAGGCCTTGACTAGGTTCGTGATGACAAAGGACCTTGTCTGAACCTAATGATTTCAAACATGAGCTTAAAACAACACTCTGAAGTCCAGTCATTGTGCCTCAGTAGACACATTAGAGTACTTTATTCTCAGTAGAAAATCTTGGCTTACTGAGAAAATTTAGAATACTTAGAATTAGCAGGTGTAGCACTGCACTTTGCCAGTTCCTCCTGTTTTTTCAGATATTCTGTGGTTAATTCTTCTTTTTCTGCATTTTATTTTTTGTTCAAAGTTAAAAGGAAATATCCTTGGATCCCAAAAGGCACAGACAGCCTGGTGAGATGGAAAAAGGATGTGTAAAAATGAAACTACCAACTCTTGGGAGAAAAAACACATCAGAGTTCTGGGTCCTATGTCATATCCAGGAGGGAAACAGAACAGTATTTATGGAGCATTTATTGTGGAACACAGTGAGTATGTTAAGAGCCTTTATATGGATACAAGTGATTTTGTTTTTCTTATTTCGTTGTCTGCATTTGATTAATGTGTCCGGATCCATCCATAGATATCACTGAAGATTTACTAAGTAAATGAATGCATCAGCAGTACTAACTGTTTTCATTAGAAAACAAAGTGTTCAAGGTATTTTTATTTACTTTTGATGGAATTTCAGAGATAAGAATCCATGCTTACAAGATCTTTGAGTCTATGTTATAATAGCCTAAAGTAGTCAACCATTTATAAAAAAGAATTACTTATTTACCAGTGCTTGTTTTGTGTATTACCTTGTCACGATATTCATAATATATTTTGAGGGATATTTCACTCATTTTTGGATAAAAAATTAAAAGTCAAACACCATTTTAATTCTGTAGCAGTGAGTAGTCTTTTTCATAGTGAGATGGTGAGCTTTTAATTAAAGAGCAGTATTTGAAATATGGGTCTTTGGATACATTTACTAAGCAAACAAAGTAAAGTGGGAAAAATATTCTAGGCAGGCACTCTGCCAATTGAGCCATTCCACAAGCAGAAATATTCTAGATATACCTGTTGATAGAAGTTTGGAGGTGGTAATAAAGCAAGAAGATGGATACAGACAAGAAAAAACAGTTCTAGAAGTCTTTCCATGTTGATTATCATCTCTGTTGGAGCATTTGAATAGTTACTTTGATTATAAAAGCATACCTCAGAGCTTGATTCAATTCCAGACCACTGGCATAAAGCAAATATCATATAAAAAGTACCAAACAAAAATTTTCCAGTCTATATGCATTTTATATTTTCACTACACTGTCGTCTGTGTGCAATATGTCTTTAAAATTGTGTATGCTTTAATTTAAAAAATACTTCATTGATAAAAAATGCTAACAACCACCTGAACCTTCACGTCACCTTCATCTGTTTTACTGGGAGAGGTCTTGCTTCCATGTGGGTGGCTGCTGACTGATCAGAGTAGTGATAAATGTAGGAATGGCTTAACAATTTCTCAAAGACATTGAAGCTTGCTGCATCAATTAACTCTTCCTTTCACGAACTATTCCTTTGAAGTATGCAATGCTGTTTGCCATTCTACCCATAGTAGAGATTCTTTCAAAATTGAATTCAATTCTTACAAAAGCAACAAAGGTTATATAATATTCTAAGTCTATTGGTGTCATTTCAGCAGTATTCATAGCT